CTTTGAAATTAAAAAGTCCCTCGTGCACTATGCCAGCGTTTGGTAATTATCGTGTTTAGAGAACAGCACAGGCTGTCTTTGTTTCCTGTTGTTCATGTTCTTCAGAGTCACACACTTCTCTCTACCTTAAAAAAATTCCCAACAGTGTCGAGCTCAAGGCCATGATTTAATGTCTTCATAATTATGAAATTCCTGTGAAGAGGGAAGGGAAAGATTGGGATAATCCGAGCGAACTCCTCAGATTCTCTCTCCCTCTTTTACCCCAGTGGTCTGCATTTAGAAACAGTCACCTACAGATCTTACAACATTTGTCAGGGAGGGAGTAAGGCCATTATCTTCCATGAGAAAAAGCAGACACAGGACTAAGGCACCTTGCCTAAGGCCACTGAGGAGAGCTTGGAACAGATGCCAGTCCCCTATCAGGAGATCCCAGTTGCCTCTGAAATTCCACGATCAGAACAGGCAGAACACAAAAGAGAAACCCACTGAGGAGAGGAAATGTTTTCCCACAAAAGCAATTTCCTCCAATTTGTATTTCAGCAACAAATTTGTTTCCAGTTTCAGATGCCACTATTCAAAAATGACCTGTTGCCTTTTGACTATAATAGAACCTCTCTCATTCTTCAATGATTTGCTTGTAAATATTTATCAATATGGCTTGGCCCTTCGCCCCCTTTCTCTGGCTTTATTGTGGTGAGCCCCCAACACCGCCAACATTTCTCAAACCTTTGTGACTGTTATGTCTTTCACGTGGGTCTGTGTGTTTTCTCCTTTGCTCTATGAGGTGCTATAAACATTTACAACTGAACTGTCAACATGTATAAATAAAGAACTGTAAATTTTTACAGTTCAGTGCCCTTTATTATGTTTTTATGCTCTTGCATGGATCCAGAAGATTTGCTTTATCTCCAGAAACTGAAGCAATAGATTAGATTACTTTACACGTGTTACTTAGTCCCAGTTGCACTCACGTCCTGAAATTGCCCCATTCCTATAGTTAGATGTGTTTTCTCTTTAGTTAGAATCTGGTTTATTACTGACAGAAACAAAGTGTCTTGATTAAAATTTCAGTCATGCTCTCATTGCCAACTATACTTGTCTAAGGCGGTAGTTCCAAAACTTTTAGCAGGTCTCGGAATTTCCTGGAGAACTTGTTAAACAAAGATGACGGAGCCCCACCTCCACAGTTGCTGATTTCCCAAGTCTGTCGTGGAGCTGGAAATTTGCATTTCTATCAACATCCCTGGGATGTTGACGTTGCTTGGTCCAGGAACCTAAAGCATTGGTTTGGTTCTTCCCCTTGAAGAAACTAAGGATATTTCTTTTTAGTTTGTATTTCAGCAAGTGATCACCTTATTCCTGAATGCTAAGCTTTGCAGAATCTTGAGGTTTTGTCTTCACGGAATGCAGAGTTTGCCTCAGGCAAAATTGGAGAATAAGTAACCCTCACACATGGACAAAGGCACACCTAGAGGCAGCAGGGGGCCCAGCAGGCAGCCTGCTCAATCTCAGTGGCTCAGTGTAGTTCTGGGCCTCTGCTCTTTTAGGGAGGCCTCAGGAGAACATTCTCATCTATTCTTTGCTTCCTCCACATCACCACATATTCTTAGCCAGCTACTTTTGCAACTTCCTCTGCAGGTATATGTTAATCAGGAGGACTGATTTCTCACTCTAGTTCACCTTCACTCTAGCTCACTCACTCACAGCCCCACCTGTTAAACAGACCTCCAGATTTACCCACACCACAAGACTCAGCTCACATCTTGCCCTCTCTTCCCACTTACACCCTAGAACTTTCAGCTGTTCTCTATGGTCTGAGCACATTCTGATGGCATATCTCACTTAGCACATTGTCCTGTACTTTTCTGGTTAAAGGTTCATCTCTTTAAAGTTCAGGGCTCTTCTAAGCAGACCAGTGCCCTATTTATGTCTATCACTCCAGGAGGTTACTGTCAATTAATTAAGGAAAAAGGGCAAGACAGAAAGGAGGAGAAAGTGGAAAGAAAGTTCTGTTTTCAGAAAATGCTATACATTCTTTGAGGAGGGGGATAATATGGTCACTGGGTGATTGGGGAAGGTGGTGTGGGGGCTGCTGAGTACTGTGACAAACTAAAAGGTTGACCCTCACAGCAACAGCAATGCAGCCCTGGGAGCAATGTTGCCTTAGATCAAGGACATGGATCCAGCCCAACTAGAGAGGAAGATTAATAGCGTAAGAAGACAGAGGTGTCCTTGTGCTCCTTAGGGCTCTCTCTGGCACAGATGTTAAGCCATGACAGTGGCAAGGGACTCTTTGGGGGGCTTTTATTGGAAGTTGAAGGACTTTGAGACTTAGGAAGGACATGGGATAAGATAAAAACTAAGACAGGAATAATAGTGGCAAATAGAGAGTCATTCATCATCGGCTCATGCTCTGCCAGGGACTGTTCCAGGAGCTAGGCATGCAATGGTGTTGGTTGGTTAAATTGAGGGTTATATAAAAAAAAAATATGCATTTGTCTCTTCTTCATGTTTGAATACCATTAGGCTTTTCCTCGATATAAGCACAAAAATTATAGATTTTATCTAATTTATCTTTAATAGCATGCAATACATAAATGTTGAATTCAAAAAAATGCAATATATGTTTTTTACTGCTTCCAAAAATATTTTAAAATATTTTTCTCAAACAACTACTTTGAAGACAGTTTGGCAGTTATTCTAAAGCTAAACATAGTCTTTCCATACAACCCAACAATCATACTCCTAAGTATTTACCAAAATGAGTTGAAAATATGTGTCCACATAAAAACCTGCACACAAATGTTCATGTAAGTTTTATTCGCATTTGCTAAATTGGTAAATGAACAAACTGTGGGACATCCATACAATGGAATGTTATTCAGTACTTTTAAAAAAATGAGCTATCAATCCACAAAAAGACACAGACGAATATTAAATGAATATTGGTAAGTGAAAGAAGCCAGCTTGAAATGGCTGTGTACTGTAATGATTCTAGTTATGTGACATACTGGAAGAGTCAGAACTATTGAGACAGTAAAAAGATTAGTGGTTGCCAGGGGTGCAAGGGGAGAGAGGAATGAATAGGTGTGGTGTAGAAGATTTTTAGAGGAGTGGAACTGTTCTGTATGATAATGTAATAGTGGACACCTGCCATTATGAAATTGTCAAACCCAATGGAATGTAAACACAAAGAGTGAACCCTAATGTAAATTGCAGACTTTAGTTAATAATAGTGTATCAATAGTGACTCGTTAACTGTAACAAACATACCATAATAATGCAAATGTTAATAATAGAGGAGGTGTATAGGAACTTTCTGTACTTTGTGTTCAATTTTTCTTTAAAACTAAAACTGCTCTAAAAAATAAAATATAAAATATGTAACAAGACAAAAAAAAATCCGTCATTTTGTGCCATTACATTGTCAAAACATCTAGAGATCCATATTTTTTCCCAGTTACCAATGCCTTGTTTTTTTTCAAAACTGCCTTTTTATTGTGTAACTCTGTATTGGCAGAATATATTTCATTTCCTTCCCCCCAAGCGAAAGGAGATACTATTTAATGCTGCTTCCATGAAGACCTATGAAGAAGTCAGTTCTATGAAATAAAACTCCTTCTGAATGAATTTATTACAGACTGAGAGGAGAATGGGTTGGAAATTCACACGTACATAATGCCATTCTTAGAGAATTTGGTCCATATAAATTCAGTCTTGACTGGTAGCCATTAGGGGCTTTTGAAATAACGTATCTCGAGAAATGTTGCAACTTCTTTGATGGGATAAAGATGGAAAAAAAACATAATATAATGAATTTTTCTTTAACAAATGTTCATGTAAAAGGGTTTAGAAAGTCTGGTTTCAAGATAATTGTGAAAATATACTTTTAAGACTGCTACTTAGCTGTTTGTTTTATAGTAAGCTTAGGTTTTACAAAATGTCAAATTGACGGTCAGTTATAAGGAAGCCTCTATTTATAATAGTATAGCCCATTTTTATAGCACTTTTAACTTGCAAAGGTGCTTTTCATATATAACCTAATTTTATATTCACAATCATCTCAGGAAAATTGTCAATTTTTCAATTTTTTATTTTTTGAGACAGAGTCTTGCTGGATCGCCCAGACCAGAGCCCAGTGGCATTATCTCAGCTCACTGTAACCGCTGCCTCCCAGGTTCAAGTGATCCTCCCACCTCAGCCTCCTGAGTGGCTGGGATTACAGGCATGCACCACCAAACCAGGCTAATTTTTTGGATTTTTAGTAGAGATGTTACCCAGACTGGTCTCGAACTACTAGCCTCAAGTGATCCATCCACCTCGGCCTCCCAGAGTGCTAGGATTACAGGCATAAACCACCATATCTGGCCAAGATTTTTTTTTTTTTTTTTTTTTTTTGGAGTCAGGGACTTGCTCTGATGCCCAGGCTGACGTGATCCTCCCACCTCAGCCTCCTGAGGAGCCAGGACCACAGGTGTGCACCACAATGCCCAGTTAATTTTTTTTTAATGTTTTTGTAGAGACAGGGTCTCCCTGTGTTGGGCAGGCTGGACTCAAACTCCTGACCTCAGGGGATCCTCCCACCTCAGCCTCCCAAAGCATTGAGATTACAAGTGTGTGGCCCTGCACCCAGCCTCTTCTAACTTCTTTCTCATAATCGTGATTTTGGTAGATGGATCTGCTGTCCTCCAAAACCAAATTGAGGTAGATGGTCATGTCTTTTCCTAAAGCCACTAAAAGTGAACCCTCTGGTAACTCTCAGTCCAAGATCATGCTGAAGATTTCTTACAATAAATACATCCTATTTTTTTCCTTATTTTCTGTCTTTGGCAAAAATCAAATCTGCATATCAAATGCTTGAATAAAAAAAGAAAAAACTTTGTTTCTCATAGATCATAACCAGAGATGAACATAATGTTCAATGAAAGTAAAAATAATCAGAAACATGAATCTCTCAAAACAAAGCGTAAACTCTTTTGTCAGACATTGTTTCTCCCGTTGTGCTGTTTTATGTTTGGAAAGTGGATATAAATGTGTGTCCTCCTGTGTGTTGCCATGTGTGCATGTTCTCCACTTTAGGCATGTCTCTCCTTGAGTCAGTGGCTCAGGAAAAGATCCAAATGCAACATTGATCAAACTGATAGGATGTTGAAGAGCCTGTACAATGAGCTCATTTCTGGAAACTTTATTAGACAATATATTTTCTGTACTGGCTGTGACATGGAGTTATCGTCAAATTCTATGGACACAATTGATGCCTTTTAGAGGCCGGGAAGTCAAACCAATGAGATTCATTTTAGAGTGACAGCAAATCCTCTTATCCTTTCCAATTTGGTCATTCTCCAGGGCGCGAATTTCAACCTGCAGTTCTCAGACCAGTGTGCTTTAGTCTTTCAGTGTGAAACTTTCTGAGATTACAATTGTTTCTGTTTGGGGTTAGGCCTTAGACTACCCAGAAATGGAGTAGAATCACTCTGATTTCAATCTTGCAGATCTGTCTGAGCTTCCTCTCTTTCTGGTCTGTGTTAGGGAGGGTGCTTGTTCTTATAGTTTCTACATAGGTGTACATACACATTAGAAGTCCACATATTTTTTAAAACAAAAATATTTGCAATTAAAGATGTCATGTTATATAAATATCAATTTTACTTCTTTTTTTCCGCTGACTTATTTCATATGGAGGGAAAACAAAATGTTGACTCATTCCTGCCTCTTTCTAGGCATGTCACATTCCATATAATCATTCATGAGTAAAAATATTAAAATACCACTAGCCCATGACAGCTTAATTTTTTTGATAATAAAGCAAAATTATCTGTGGTGTACTAAAATCATGAAAATACTTGGTGTTACCCTGATCAGTTGCTTATTACTTCAATAAGCATCTCTTTAAACCCTCGAGGATGTTCTGTCCCTCCTCCCTTCCAGAAAGGCTGGAGTCTGTCAGGGCCATTCTGGGCCTACAGGGCTGGGTGAGTACATTCTCTCATTACCCTGGAGGTTCCTGGAATCCACCACCACTTCTCCTGGAGAAAGCTGTTGGTCTTTGAAAGAAAACTCTTCTAAGTTAGCTACTGAGCCTACATGTGAGGGAGGTTGGGAAATTGCTGGGGGATACAATCAAGCAGTCAACAGAGTTTCACTCTAAAGATACTGACAGGCCAGTGGAGGAGAAACATGCACTCCCCACTAACTCCAATACAAGACGGGAACCACCACTTCTACCAAAAATGATGTCAACATACACAGAAGAGGAGATGATTATTTTTGACCCAGGTGGGATGGAGTGGAGGTGACATTTTTGTCTTGCAAAATTTGCATCTTCCCTTCTTGGCAGGTGGGATTGATGCTAGATATAAATTTCTGTGGTCAGAAGGAAGCAAGAACATGTATCTCCACTTATAATTCCCTAATGACTAATACTGAGAAATCTTTTCTTCGACAAGGAAAAAAAACACTCTACAACATAAAGAAAGAAAATCTCATGCCACATGGTTTTATAGATTGCAATCATTCCTTGTTTGATTATTTCTGCAGCAGCATTTACATCGACTGGAAAACTCTTCTTTCTCGAAGACTTCCTGAAGGTGATGGAAGCCTTGCATCTGTGTCTTGGTGCCATGGGGAGCCTCTGTCTGGAGCCTGGGAATTTCTAGAGACCCTTCTGACAGCTCTCCCTGTATCCTTCTCACAGGCCGTACCCAGGATTGAGTTGCCACTGTGGGAAATCAAAAGCATAAATTCTTGCTACTGCTGTTGCTCTTACATTTAGTCCTAACTGATACCATTACTGATTATTCTCTTGCATCACCTTGGTGTTGAATTGCAGTTTAGGAGTCTACCACTCTCTGAGGTTGTTCAGCCCAATTTCTGAAAGGACTGAGTAGGTCTCATGCCAGGGTGATTCCCCCCAAACTGCAAGAAGCAGCATGTAGACCTTTGGGAGATAGGGTGGTGTTTGTCTCTTTACATTATTATAAAACAAACAGTAATTTAGCCTGTCCCCATTGTCCCAATCTGAGGGACAGAAGTGGCTCCAATAACACTAGCTGTCATTTCTAAAAATTGAGGCAAGTATATATTTATGCCAACATCTTCTAGAATTAGCCCTGTCTAGTCTTTATTAGAAACTGCTATAAAAAATTATGATATAAATGGTAGGGAGAGAGTAGGATTCACAATTTCTGGTCTTTAAATTAAAAATCTTCACTGAAAGAGAGAGCACTTATTCTGTGCAACTCTCCAGACAGCTGAACTTCAATGCAAGGAAACCCCTCTAAAAATTAAAGCTGCTAAAAGTGGGAGGAGATTCCCTACCACTGGGGGCATCACGCTGCAAATTACACGTCTATCCAGAATGATGGATGGTAGAGGGCATGCGTACTTTAGTTAGGTAAGAATATTGGAGAAGACAGTATCTAAAGTTGCTTCCAATTTTGGTATCCTGTGATGCAATAGAAAAGTAACCACAGCGATAATAGACTAAATAGAATAAATTAAAAGCAAGATAATAAATTCCTCTCTAACCCCAAGACTAGGGGTTAGAGAAGGCAAGCAGAGCGTATTGAACAAGTATGATTTTAAGTAGTGGTCCTTACCCAATGAGGAGTGGATTGAGTAGGAAGGATTAAAGAGTGGTGTTTTATTGACATTTATTCCTTCTCTATAAATTGTATTACGTAGGTGAAAGTAAGTAAGAAACTGAATGGCTGCAGAATCTTCTCTCCCATCAGTTTTCCAGAGAGTATGACCCACATGTGAATGCCTGTGTGCATACATACATAGAAAGTGACTAATGGCAGGAGCCGCACTAATGGATTGGCCCATTTAATGGTTAATTTGTTTTTGGAAACTTCCGTAAGAATCATCTAAAAGACACTCTAGAAATAGTGGAACAACAACACTTGGGATAAAGGCCTTTAAACTGTGTAATTATTTGTTCCATGTCTAGAAAATATTATAAATCTCTTTCTCCCCCTGTTAGAGGGAAGCTGCAGGAAGATTTTGCAAGCATACCCGGATAAAAGCCCCTCTACAGTCACTTATGTGCACTTCTCTATAACATTGGAGGGAATTCAGTTTTATGTCTGCAGAGCTGCTGTTGCCAGGGAAACAGGGGTCCTTGTCAGAATGCAACTGAATTAAGTCCCAGTGTGCCAGTTACTGGGTCTTTTCATTTGCCTACAACATACATGAATCTCTTTATGTCTAAGAAAGGTATTTTCTTCATATGCATCCATTGCACACACAGCTTTGTCAGCAAGGTCCAGACCAAAGACTGTACCTGGTTACCCGATTAGGACTGTGGGTGACAGGAGAGAAAACAAAGAGAGTAGACCATACCACCATTCGCCAAGAGCAGATGGTGTGAACTGGCCCTTTCAACTGAGTGCCTTCTGATAAGGAGTTCTCCAGAAGCCAAGGAGCTTTACTATCATTCCTCATAGGTATGCATTTCATCTTCCAAGAGGGCATCACTCTTTCCTATGACTCAGGTAAATTCAACCTGGGCCACTTTGCAACTAGAATTGACACAGGCTGTGGTCACTCATCTGAATTCTCTGGCTCTCAGCTTTTATTGGAAGGTCACCTAGAAATAACCTAAATTCTTAATGTAATTTCAGGTTTGTTCCAACTCAAACAAGTTACCTGAGTGATTTCTAGAGAGTATGTGAGCTGATGCAGACTAGATTTGAGCTGTTAAGTTCTATCAAAGTCCTAGTGAGATAAACACCCCATTTGTATAATCCTGAGTTCATCGGTATCACTAACCTAGTAGACCAATATTTGTGTGTAGATTAGTGCCTTTCAAGGAGCCATCTGTATCCAATTTTTGTTTTATTGGTGGTAAGTCTACCTGACATTTTTAGTCACAATATACAGGATGATGCAGAAAATATGCTGATGTGGTCACCCAAGAAAAACCGGAAACATGGTAATTTCCAAAGTGTTTTCTTTAGGAAGACAGAAAAGAATGTAGTCAGTGTGTATTTATGAAGGCTCAGTGTATGCAGTATTTAGTTTTTGAGTAAAGATCTTAAAGCTTAACTCTCCAGAAAGCTTCATGCCTTTCTCTACTCTGTTATTGTATCTCTACTCTGCATGATATTATTATTTCCAGATATTTAACTCTCTGCTTAGCATTTATCTAAGGTGTATTTTCTGCCTTATATAGTACTGGTAAACTAGTCCCTTGAGGGTTCTTCTTTTCACTCATTATTGCCATGACCTTTTCATTGCATTTGCAAAAGATATTCCAGGACACATGTTAGGCATTTCCTTGCTAATGTCTTGCTTGAAAATAGCGTATTCTCAAATGAAACCTGTTTTCCTTCATGAAGTGTAGAGGACTCATTTACCTACTCTGATAGGCTAATTCAGGTTTGGTTGTGTTTGGCTCATGTGATCAAGGATTTATAGATACTGATTTACTCTGAATGTTTATCCCTTATTCTTACAGCTGAGGCTGTTTGGCCAGGTCATTTAGCAACACCAAAATGATTGTTTAAAGCAAGACAATGTGCTTATGTGGTGGTGTGTGCAATGTAAAGCCCTAACCTAGAAGACTGACACTTAAGACTTGACAGAAACATTCCTTTTGCAGCAAAATAAACAGTTTTTTCTTCTCCTAGATAAGGTAGAGCACTTTTTTTTTATTAATCCATATGGTTTGTTCTCTTGCATAGGAAACCACTAAAGACAACAATTTTCCAGATCTCTTCCTCTAAGTTTTCACTATCAATAAATGCTTGTGATATCAGCTGAGGTTTTTAGCCCACACATCCGGCTTGTATCTTAATTGCAATAACTTCTTGTCACAAACAGCCAATGTAGTGATGTATGGAAAAAGTGGATTTTTTCCTTGTCCCTCGAGTCTCCCCCTACCCCCACCTTCAGGCCCCTCTGCCTTTCCCCCATTCCCAACCTCACGGAGGCCGGAAAGTCTTTCAACATTCCTGGAAAGTTACATAAGACACCAGAAGTAGATAACATTGTATGTTTCCAGTTTAAAATGCAGAATGTTTATGCCTGTAAGGAGAGAAGAATGAAAGAATGTCCCTTTCGGAAATCATATCTGAAACGACTGGGGGCTGACAAGTGCTTCCCTTACAGTAAAAATAATGTTTAAGGACTTGAAGTGTTTTTTACTACCTGGTAAATAGCAAGTTCTTTGTTCCTTAAGTACAAATCCTAAACACCTAAAAGCCCATATTACAGTCAACTAGACTGAGCTTCCAAGTTCTTATTTGAGGCAAGGGCAGTAGAAGTGAAATTTTATTTTTTATTTTATGAATGTATGTATGCATTTATTTTGAGATGGGGTCTCACTCTGTTGCCCAGGGTGGCGTACAGTGGTGAGATCATAGCTCACTCTAACCTTGAACTCCTGGCCTCAATTGATCCTCCCACCTTAGCCTCCTGAGTAGCTGGGACTACAGGCACATGCCAAAAGACCTGGGTAATTTTGTTTTGTTTTGTTTTGTTTTGTTTTTGAGAAGGAGTCCCGCTCTGTCACCTAAGCTGGAGTGCAATGGTATGATCTCGGCTCACTGCAACTGCCGCCTCCCGGGTTCAAGCAATTCTCCTGCTTCAGCCTCCCGAGTATCTGGGATTACTGGCATGGGCCACCATACCCGGCTCATTTTTGTATTTTTAATTGAGATGGAGTTTCACCATGTTGTCCAGGATGGTCTGCAACTCTTGACCTCAGGTGTCCCCCAGCCTCGGCCCCCTGAAGTGCTGGGATTGCAGGCATAAACCATCGCACCCAGCTTTTTTTTTTTTTTTTTTTTTTTTTTTTCTGTAGAGACAGGGTCTTACTCTTGCCCAGGCTGGTCTCAAACTCCTGGCGTCAAGTGACTTTCCTACTTTGGCCTCACAAATCACTGGGATTACCGGTGTGAGCCACTGCCCCCATTCCCAGTCTTCTTTTAAGGGTGTAGAGGGCAAAGGGTTGAGGACAAGAGTCTTGACATGGCATGAAAGAAAGGCAAGCCAGGTTCCACTGTTAGCTTCTGACTACCCCTCAAATGCCCAAATCACTGCTATGGAGAGTTTGGTCTCCCAAACCTAGAGTCTCTATCACATGGACCTCTCCTGTTTGGTGTGGGACAAACCTTCTGAGAACAGAAGCGACTGTGCTACAATTTGGAAGAGGAGAATATTTAGTTAAAAAATGGAAGCACCAAAAACAGACTTTTGATGTATAAACATATTTGCCCAAATCAACATACCACGAATTGGCTCTTCCGTGGCCTCCTGACCTTGCCCTTCCCTTAAGTGAGGTCAGCACAGAGACACGCAGCCCCGTGGCTGGTTCCAACACACCGCAACGGTGTCCAAGGCAACACTGGCTGAAGGTCATTTCAGTGCTGCCTAATTTCCAGGAAGCGGCTGTTCTCTGTGGTCTGGCATCAGGTTGGAAAGTTTAACCTGAGCACAAGGGGAAGCTGGTTGGTTTCTGCAGACTCTGCATTCTTTTCTCTGGTGGGTCGGATTTGTGAGCAAGGATTGGCTCCCACCTAGAAAGTAAATATTTTTGAAAGGTTTGTGGAGAGTAGACATGACCTTTGCCCAATGGACTTACCACCCATCTAGATAAGTAGCAACCAAAGGAAGATGCCGAGCATCTCTGCTCCATTCCTTAGAAGGGAAGTGACTTGAGAAATGGAATGAATTAAGAAGGAATGAAAAATACAAAAGGGTTTAGGGCAGTGTCTTCCCCCTGTCCCTATTGGCCCCTATTCTTATCATTTCTTTGTGAGGTTGCTGATTCCAGTTTACTTTTTGAAACAGAATTATGCTACAGGAGGGGTCCGGGTCTGCCGATACTAAAATAAATGCAGGGTTGAGCAATGACTCTCCTCACAACAATGACTCCTCTTTGTTTTAAATATTGTCTCAGCCAGTTCTTTCTTGCACAAGTCCTTTTACTTAATATCATTGATGATACTTATTCTCATGGGCATTCATCAAAAGTTGATGGAACCCCTACTAAGCACAAGGTACTGTGCTAAGCCCTGATACTAGAAAACAGGCAATTACACTACAATGTGTAAGTGCTACGGAGGTCAAGAGGAAGTAAAGTGACCCCATCTGAGGGACAGCCCAGTGTGATGGCCTTGAAGGGATGATCTTGAGCACCACGTAACCTGGAAGGATCCTTAACCTGGTACAATGCTTCATCTCTCTCTAATATTTTCTATCCAGGCATTTCATGAATTGTCTCCTGGCTAAAAGTGACTGCATAAGTCACTTTTAAGTGTTTTATGTCTAGACAAACCCGAGGGTAAAGAGGGCAAAAGGTAGCATTGCTTTACAAACAAGACCCTATATCCCATGGTTTCCATGCCTCAACACAATGGCTCACATGAAGAAAGACTACCACATGAGGACTTCAACTGTAGTTGTTTACCATCCTAATGAACCAAATAACTGAAGCTGATTAAACTCTTCTTAAGAAATAATCACTTGCTGTAAGAAACTTCCACAGGAAACCTGAACTTTTTTATTATACCTGGAAGATCAAGGTAGAAGGAAGAGATCAGGGGAGTTGGAAGCCAGTAGTAATGTCTCTCGTCCTAGTGATTTACAACAATCACCACATATGTGGCATCCAAATGACAAAAGCTAGAAAGACTCTCAGGAGAATATTTCACATTGACAGTGAAGAGCCCCAAATCCAGGGAAACCAGCTGATCTAAGTAAAATCAGCTCTCAATAAACAATAGCTCATAGCCCTCACAACCACTTTATGGATAGGTGTTATCCCATTTTACAGATGAGGAAATTAAGGTTTAAAGAGATAAAGCTACTTGAACAAGATCATCCCAAGTCACCTTTCAACTGGTTTCAAAGCCTGACAACAGACACAGCAATACTGTCTCATGTCCGGAGTTTATTTATGTCAGACACACAGCTTCCAAAATGGAATGACACCTAAGACTATCCGAGGCTCTGAAGCCTTAACTATAATGTAATATTATATAAAATTAAGGGATTTCTTGAAATAAATTATCCTCTATGGAAGGGGTTGGCAAACTACTGCTCACAGTCCAAATCCTGTCCTCTGCCTGTGTTTTCAAATGAAATGTCATTGAACATGCTCATTCATTTGTGTTTTATCTGTGGTTACTTTCAAGCCACAATGGCAAGGATAAATCGATGCAACAGAAACCATAGGTCTTGCAAAGCTGAAATTATCCACTACCTGGCCCTGTACAGAATAGTTTAAAAGTGTTACTATAAAATGAGTTTATCTGTCTATATATTATACTCACTCAATACTTTACAATACTTCAAATATTAACCCTGAAGCTACTTGCAACTTCCAAATGTATCTTCTAAATAATGAAAGACTCAAGTCTACTTCTTGCAGTTTTGGCCGTAAGTATATTTTATCTCATTCATATCTACTTTAGGTGAACTTAGTACAATTCTCTTAGCTAAGTTTCAGTTTTTCTGCATATGACTCAGTATTCTACTGAAAATGCCATCCATCCATGTTTGAGAAAGTTACAGATTTGGGGAGGTCACTGATTTGAAATCATGGCCTGACATTTTTCTTCTTTACTTAACATTGGATAGAAGTTGTAAGAAGACCTGGAGAATATATCAGTGATGGAGTTGCTGATAAATATAGCTATATTTGTAAAGTCCTCTAAGAAGAGAGTCAAGGATTAGAATGACATGTTAACTACAGTGGAATTCCTTTTGGCCAGATAAGATGTGGCATCTTTGTCAGATAATCCTTCTGAACCACTTCCCACTCCATTAAACAGAGAATATACTCATTGCTGGTACCCAATAATACTTTGGAATTGAATTTAATTGAGTTGAATTGAGAACCAACAAAGAAACAAAAGACCTGGTACATTTCAACTGAGTTGCGTTTGATTTAAGAAGCAATTTTACTTGGTATAGCTTTCCCAAATCAAAACACTATCCATAGCAAGGAGAAATTAAGAATCTAGACTCACAAGGTTATTCAGGACAATCCTGGAGAAAACTGAAAGTGATTGATCTTACTCAGCATCTGCATGTTTTATGAGAAGAAAGGCACGTACCACGAGAGGCCTGTAAACATTGTGTGAGAACGAAGCTGGGAGTGTGATGTGCAGCGCTTCCTCTGAGTGCATGACATGCCATCAAGACAAATGGCATCTGAGCCACTCACTTGGCTCAAGTCTAAGATTATTAATGAATTTCCGTCCTGTTCTTTCTTTATAGGCTTTAATGACCCAGCGAGATTTCACTGTTTAATATTTAAACAAATGTTTTTATCCTGAGACAATGAGTCTCTGTTGAGACTGGATAGAACTGTTAATATTTTCCAGTATGGCTGACTGCCATTCCTGCTGGAGTAAATGGCATAAGCTGATTTCTAGAAATGCTTGAAAATAAAAGCTTGCCTTTTGGTGACACGTGAATGGAAAGCTTTAGTGGCACACACAGCAGAAGAGGTGTGTGTGGTCTGCTCCGCAGGGTGAGTTCCACTATTGTTCTGACCCTTCTAGCAGAACACAATGATTTGGTTGGCATAGTTGGTGTTGGCTAACCAGACTGGCTTGATTTCATGTGCTGCTGCTGCTTGGCGTTGACTCTTACCAATTTATCAAAAGTGACTTTTAACAAACCCCTTCTTAATTATCCATCGTCAAAGGCAGTTGGGTAATGGACTTATCATTTGAGATCCAATGTCACTCATTGGTAAAATGGGCTTTGGTGAACTCTGGAGGTAAACTTATTTAGAGTGAGAGCATGATTTCACATGAAATAGGACATTTCTCAAAGTATACTTTGACCTAGTTAAGCAGTAGTTACACATTCATTTCCCTCCAACATGGGTGTTCTGTTTAGATTAGATACTAATCAAGGCTAACTTTATGGAATATTCACAATTTTCTATGTACCTGAAAAATTTGTGATGAACTCCTTTGAAAAAGATCTTTGACTCCACCTCTAAGGAAATATTATACTACATGATATTGTGTGTGGATTGGCCCCACTAGCCAGGTGGATTCTTAAGCTCCCAAACCTGAAAAATATGGAGGTATTAAATTCTTCTTGTCTCCAATACGTTTTGATTAGTTTCTTTCCTGAGAGATAGTGTCCAGCATAAAGGTCAGCAATTGGAAAGGACAAGGTAAAACATCAAAAGTTGGACGACAGCAACAACGAAAGGACCAATATGAATTTTAAGGAAAACACCTTATTGATTTTTATTGTTTCAATTTGCTTTTTTTTTCTTTTTTTTTTGATGGAGTCTCACTCTGTCACCCAGGCTGGAGTACAGTGTTGCAGTCTCGGCTCACTGCAACCTTCGTCTCCCTGATTCAAGCAATTCTTCTGTCTCAGCCTCCTGAGTAGCTGGGATTACATACTTATCTTCTTTAAGAATCATTTATATGCATATGGAATGCAAAAAATAAAATTCTTTGTAAGATTATCATATATAAATTTTAAAGCTTTCAGAACATAATGTCCAATAAATAAAAAGAGTGATTCCTCCAACCCCAAAACTGTAGGATATGCATTAAAGAACGTACTTTCTGGGAAAGGTGTGAACTGGTATGGATTCATTCACATTCTCTTACCCAGCTCTCTGAGATTTAAGATCTCATTATGGCTGCCTCATGCCAGGAATCCAAGCTTCCTGGCCATGGGAGGAAATGTTTCCTCTTAAATCTGTCAAATCAGAAGGATTACTGTGGGCATCGGTGAAAAACAACTTCCTAGCATTCTCGCCTACCTACCTTCACCAATGAGATTGACTCATTAGATACAAGTTGGAACCCAGAAATATGGATTACTAATAAAATGATCCTATCAAGAAACAGTGTGAAATACTTCTGTGGGATACACAACTCTAAAATCATGACCTCATCAACTGAAGACATGCCAGTTTTATGGCTTAATGTATTTACAAGAAATGAACAAGCAAAACTAGAGAAAAGCTAAGATGTTAAAAGCACCTATAAAGAATAGTATGTTGTAGAAGAAAAGATAAAGACAGTTAAGTAGGACAATATAATGTCAGCAATGTGGTGACTGGAAACTTAACATACGTGAAGAGAGATAGAGAGGAGAGAACCAGAAACATTTGCTTGCATTCTTGTATCTGCTTTGAATGTGTTTTGAGCTTATGCCCAAAATCAAGGTCTCCCATTCTCATTACAGTGCCCTGCTCGATAGCCCCTGTCTCTTTTGTGTACGTAGTATTAGATCTCTAGAAGCTAATTAGCAGTACTTGGGGTTTCGTTTTTATGTATTTATTTAAAAGTGGAAAGCATTAAGAAAAAATAAGTAGTAGGAGGAAATGCGGTGATGTAATAGCTACCATTTATTGAGCGTTCAGCTATGCGCCTCTCATTGTCCACATATTATTTCTTTATTGATGTTCACAACAACTCTCTGTGATAGGTTTTTTTATTACAGTTTTATTGATAAGAAAACAGAAACTCAGAGAAGTAGCTTATCTAAGGTCCAATTGCCTGCAGGTGACAGCTGCAATTTAACCCCAGCTGTGTCTCTTTCTAGTACACACTATGTAAGTGAGATGGCAAGCCATGGATCATGAAGCAAGAAGCTTAATTCATTTCCTCGGTTGTCTGATGACTCATTGTGTGGCATTAGACCAGTGTTTAGATTCCTTCATGCCTTTGTTGTCATATCTTCCAGTTTGCAGACAACCTGCCTGTTAACTGGTTTTGACCAGCCCCCAATATAATATGAGTTGAGGTAAATACAGGACTTCTATTTGAGTTCTAAATCTGGTGTGAAAATGAGAGGAACATTTCAGAAATCTTTTAGTTGCTGTCAAAATGGCAGCAGTCATTCACAGGTTAGGGAACCCATTAGAATAGTCAACAGCACCATCTGCCTAACTGGGAACTGTTTGATAAGTTACTATCACTTTTTGACTCTGTCTCATGCTTGTCAACTTGCTAAATGCTGATAAAAGCGGCAGAGTGGACCTACCATCTAAAACAAAGCATTCTGTTTCAACTGGCAAAATGTCTCCTAGACACTTGCCTAGAAGTAACCGGCTCTTTAACGAGTTACTATTTTTATTAAATATTTTGTGGAGTTGATTCATCCTCTTGGATTTAAGAGACACAAACATAACACAGTGTGCTTCTCCTATACAGAAGCTATTTGTATTCTATGTAATAAGTCCCCAGTGAATCTCAGCAAATCAGTGATATTTGTATAGACTTGAAGAGGTTTCAGAAATCTTTGAAAGAATTAAAAATAAGCACATTCAGGCATGCTCTCTGGTGTCAAGGAGTGTTCTTTGCAAGAGGGAGCTGGGGAATATGAAAAGGAACATGAAATTAATGTTGAGAAAACAGATGTCCATAGCCAAAGGGACTAGCAATGCAATTCCTGAGCAAGAAAGCTATGTGCAAAGGAGTCCAGGAAAGAAATGTGATAACATTGGGAAATGATATCTGCTGGGTAGGTCCTAGGTCTGTAGGGGTTTCATTTTTTCAGTAACAAGTCAGTGATGGCACCAAGAACAAATATGAGTTCATTATGTTAATGGATGACCCCAGGTTGACCCAGAGAAAATTAAAATTCAGAATGATTTTATTCAATATGGGGAGAAACTTAGTGAAGATTTTAAGGATGTGTTCCAGGCAACACATACATAAAATAACATGGCTGGAGAAAATCCTTTGGGATTTACAGCAAACTTCACGCTCCCCTAGGTCACTGATGCTCAGCTATGGTACTGTTTCTAAAGATCGTACATGTGTGATGTACAATGTTTAACTGGAGAGGAAGCATATGGTGGGCTCCCTTTACTTTAGTCGGTAAAACGAATAGAAGAAGATAGAAGGGAATTACAGAACTAGAGACTGGAGTCAATCAAGAGGATGAGATTGATGATAGTAAGAATTATTGAACATCAAAAATGTATGGTTAGGAATGTAATGATCATTCCTGAAAGTCTTTGAAAATTTGAAATGTTTTGTCTTGGTAGATTTGCTTGGATGCCATTGTGGCATCCAAGATTTAGATGATTCTTAAGGACACATGTAGCTTAATGTTTCTGTGGGCTCTGGGAGAGGAGACTCTATGCCCTGTTTGAAAGCTCCTGGGGCCCTCTTCTCTCCTCTTGGACACAGATGGCAATCAGGATGACACAGGTTCAGGTTGTGCTGGCTTTTCATCTCTCTATGATAACTGACTCTGAAGTTGGGGCAGACCACTGTTTCTTCCTTTTCTATCCCCCAAAATGGAACTGAATGAGTTTATTTTTCTCCTTCTCTGAACTAATTCTGATTTGGCAGACTGAGAGGAAGACAGAAAGAAGGAGAAAAATAGAAGCGAAAGTAGGGGCAGTGCCAAGGAGGTGGCTGGGGACTTGAGCCTCGTTTTCATCTCCACTGCCACATCTTCTTAAGTGGTCCTCAAACTCAACTAAGCACTATCTGGGCTGTGGAAATGTAGCTTTAGGACAAATTCCCGAGACCACAAACCCATTTCAATCAATTTGCTACCCTAAAACTCTAGAAACTCTGGACCTGTCAGTTCTTTCACATCATCAAAAAAGTACTCATTCCCTGTTTACAGAATCAAAGGCACCCTGAGCTGGAAGAGACCTCAGAGTTAGCACATTCAGTCTAACAACTTCATTTTACAAAAGGGCAACTGAGGCCAGGCGCAGTGGCTCACACCTATAATCCCAGCACTTTAGTAGGCTGAGGTGAGCACGGTCAACATGGCAAAACTCCACCTCTACTAAAAATACAAAAATTAGCCAAGCATGATGGTGTGCACCTGTAGTCCCAGCTACTCAGGAGGCTATGGCAGGAGAATCGCTTGAACCCAGGAGACAGAGGTTACAGTGAGCCAAGATTGCGCCACTGCACTCCAGTCTGGGTGACAAAGTGAGACTCCATCTCAAAACAAAAGGGCAACTGAGGCCCAGAGCAGATCAATGACTAGACCAAAATTAGTCTGCCCCAGTGCAACAGAGCCAGGTTTACCATCAAGAATACTGACTCCAGGTGGGCAAGACATGTGCCCATTTTTTTCCTGCTGCTTCTCCAGGATTTAGCACAATGCCAGGCACATAGTAGGCACTCAGTAAATATTTGTTGAATAAACAAATAATCCATGATTTCTAACATCCTTTCCACTGCTCTTGCTGCTCCAGTACATGTTTTAACTCTCCAGAAACAACAACAATAATCGGAGGACCAATTTAGCTCATTTCACCCAACCTCAAGCCCTGAAATGACCTAATATTTTATCTTGGAATGTTCCACTGTGTTTCCAAAAATTCCTAGTATGCAATGGTGTGGTTTGACTTAATTCTGTTTTCACAAAATGAGCTTGGCTGCGTGAGTCCTTCACAAAAGCCCTATTGTGATCCCGTGACTCAACTTTTGCCAATGAAGAAGCATCATCT